TATCCAGACACACCGCGTATGCGACGGAATGGTCGACCAGTTTAAGGTATGTCTACCAGAGCTGTATATCTAAATGTCATGCCATATGAGTGCCATAAATCTGTAATTATGTAAACAAGAATCGATAACAATATTATGCAAACACTCTCTATATTTATATTCTGCACTCAATTCCTATCGTATGTTTTACATTGAATTACATTTTTATTGTATGTTTTCTTGTGAATTGAATTACAATATAATGTTTACCGAAACACTTGTGCACTTAGTTTCCGACATTCAGTATCTGCTAATCAATACACAAATCCTCGTCTCAAGTGTTTTCCCAAAAATTTTCATTATTAAGAGTGTATTGTCTCTAAAACTATTCAAATAAATAGAAACTCGATTTAATTAAATTAATTGAATTCAATGCAAACATAAAATTTTATTTTTATTCCCCGATTACACCTATAAATCAATTATCAGATTTAAGACATTTGTGAGAAAAAAGTTAAGAACAGTATAAACAACGAGACAATTGATGTCTAATTTCACGGCCATTGCATCCAAACGAGTAAAAAACACACGAAAAACAAACCCATTGTTTGATTGAATTCCGATATCCTGTAAAGCAGTCTAACGGCGCTCTCAAATGGGTTTATGTTTGAAGTCTATCGGAGCGGAAACGAGACTTAAAGATGTTATTCCTCGGCATTATAGCCCCGGACTAATGCATAGCTTTTACATACAGTACTATAAAAGTCTTATTTATTTATCACTAATACTACTGTTTTTGTCATTTAGGATGAATTCTTGACAGTTATTTCGAGAATCAATTTGAGTCCAAACGAAATGTGTGGCTCACTATTGGGAATACAGTACTATAAAAGTCTTATTTATTTATCACTAATACTACTGTTTTTGTCATTTAGGATGAATTCTTGACAGTTATTTCGAGAATCAATTTGAGTCCAAACGAAATGTGTGGCTCACTATTGGGCGAGTCGTGCAGTCGGGTATACAACCCGTTGTACAACTGGACCATACCTTTGACACCCATACCAAAGCCACCCGTAAAGCCTACCAGACCTCAGCCCAAAGTAAATGACTCATTAAAGCCTATCGATTGCTATCGGAAAGCAATTTCTAAACTAATTTCTTGGGTCCGAAATCTAATCGTTTCCGCTTTAGTCCGGTTCTCCTAAATTAAAAGTCCTTCACTTATCTGATACACACATCGATCCCATGTATGCGGAGGGTGGGGATGCAGTCTGTGGCGAACCCCTGTGCTGTAGGAATGCCTCATCAGAGATAAGTGTGCAAAATAGGGCCGGTTTTTGGGGCGATTACCGCGACTGTGATATACCGCTCAGGACTTTGGAGCAGACCTTAAAGTTTATCGAAAACACACATCAAGACATCGATTATGTGATTTGGACCGGAGATATACCACCTCATGATGTCTGGAACCAATCACGTGATGGCCAGATATCACTCATTAGACTTGTGGCCAAAACCATACATAAGTATTTGGGAAACATTCCCATATATCCAGTCCTTGGAAATCACGAGTCGGCGCCTATTAACAGGTTTTCAAACAAGAATTCAGTTTTTATTTCTCTTTTGATCATATCTTTGATTCTTATATTTCCGTTAACTCTGAGATTATATTTGTTTTACTAATTTGTTTTCGCGAAATATAATCAAACAAATAAATAAAATTGTTTTCCTATTTAACCCATAGTTTTCCGACGCCTAACATAGACGGCGAGCATTCAATTTCATGGCTGTATAACACACTTGAGGTTTGCGTCAAACAAACACCAAATTCTTGACATTTGATTCACTCAATCATTACTTAATTATTAATATCATCACAAATAACAGGATATTTGGTCGCAATGGTTGCCCTCACATACACTGCCGCTAATCAAACAGTAAAACAAATTATTAATAATTAATTTTAAATTTAAATAACTTCACAAAAGTTGTGTTTAACAAAAGAATATATTTTTCATTAACTGTATTCACAAATGACTTTCAATGGCATACCATAAAAGTTTAATATTTATTTTTCGAGGGGTGCCTACTATGCAGTGGTGGTGAAGCCGGGCCTCAAACTCATATCACTTAATATGAATTACTGTAATAACCAAAACTGGTGGCTACTGTTGAACGCTACGGATCCCGCGGGACAACTCCAATGGCTTATACGGGAACTCCAGGCCTCTGAACTTACCGGAGAGAAAGTATGAACGCACTGAACGTGTCATTTAAATATTCATTAGGCTTTCCATTTTCAACAAACTTCCCCCTGTTTTGTGCGAGATAACTGCATACAGTAGCTAAACTTGTGCGATAAATATAATTATAAAACATTTTTATGTTTCCCGAAAACTTTTCATTTAGAAAATTGCATTTTGTTTGACATTTTCTATGCACTCGTATATCAGGTACACATTATCGGTCACATCCCTCCCGGTTCTAACGATTGTCTGCAGATATGGAGCAAAAACTATAACCGAGTTGTGAACCGATTCGAGACCACAATCACCGGCCAGTTCTTCGGCCACACCCATCAGGACGAGTTCGAGCTCTTCTACGAGACTATAGCCGCTCCGAGGGCTGGCGTCTACATCAGACCCACTAATGTGGCTTATATCGGCCCCAGTATGTCTACGTTTGGTAATGTGAACCCCGGGTACAGAATATACACCATTGATGGCGACTACGAGAACTCGACGTTTCAGGTGATGGACTTCGAGACCTATTACTTGAATCTAACGGAAGCCAACACTAATCGGGATTCAAAACCACTTGAATACCAACTTTCTTATACCGCTCGGGAGGCCTATGGTCTGCAAGACTTAAGTCCAGATAATTGGCATAAATTTGTACTCCGGATGAAGAATGACAACCAATTGTTCCAAAAGTTTTACAAATACTTCTTCAATAGGAGTGATAATATCGGCGCCGACAATGTGTGCACCGGTAGGCAGTGTAGGCGCGATACTCTCTGCAGACTTGTTACCTCTACATCTCATGATAATTATTTTTGTAACAAATTTCTTTAATTATTATATTAATTATTTATTATAATAATTTTAATACTCTTATCATAATGATTGATTTTTGATTACAATTTTTAAATATAATTTAAATTTACTGGACAAATGATTTAATATTTAACTTGTTTAATAAAAAGTTATTTATTTAAAACAATTTGATAAGTGTTCTGGTAAATTAATTATTTATTTATTCTAATAAAAACAAGTATTATAAATAACATAAATAAATAATTTGGTATTAGTTATGCATGATTTACTGTTATATACTGTATAAGCAGGTGTTGAACACTAATTCATAAATGTAATTAAAATATTGCATAAACTTATTTCATAATAGCATAACACTCTTTTGAAAATACAAAATTATTTTTATATCATTCAAAAACCTAGATAATTATGCAATAATTTGTCCCAATTATGAATAAAATTATTGGAAATCATTTGAATTAATGTTTACATAGAAAGACACTCTCACTGATATAGAAATGAGGAAAAACAGTAATTAATTATATAATTGTCGTTATATTTAGTGATATATTGTGAATAAAATCCAATTTTATCACAATTTATCCTAAATTTCTAGACATGTTTGTGTTTATAGAATTCATATCTGTATTAATCATTGGATTATTGAATATTATTGGTTAAGTGTTATCATAAATAAGTGGATTGCCTTCACATGAATGAGAAGTTTTTCTTTGTGTAACTGTTATTAAAACTTATTTAACAAATTGTTTCATTACATCAAATACTCATTTTGTGAACACATATGCCATGGAAGTGATGGACAATACTGGTATCAATGAGAAAGTCGAGCAAAAGTGGAGGGATATATTGGTGAATGGCAAAATGGACCGGGGTATCTCGCCTAATGTGGACCCCGACACCCCTCCCGTTTGGTTCGACAGGAATAAGTTTATTAAATCTCAAAAGTTGGCGCATTATAACTACGGAAGGTATGCCTCACCACTCATTCATAGTCTAATTAATTTACATTTTATTTATTAATATACTTGTACATTTAATTTGTAATGTATTACTTACTGACTGTGAAAAACATGTCTAAACTTTACACTTTGTGATAAAGTTTCCTTTTGTTATCGACATTGAAATTTAAATATTGTTTATTTACCAACTTTTGTGGCCATCATTTCAAGGATCTTACAAATTACTAACTATTATAACAAGTTTTGGCCCATTTTTTACTTTTACTATATACTATTTAGTATGTAGACCATTTTTAATTATTAGAATATAAAAATAGAGTTCAATATACGATAGTAAATACAGTGTTGATATTATATTTGATAATTAGTTCAGATTTGAATTAATAGTGAGAGTGTATCACTTTATTGTTTATAGAATTAAAAATATAAGATTTATTTAATTCAGTGTTATATAAACAAATATAATAAATACTATTTAAAACTATTTAAAAACTATTTATTTGCTCATACAATTAAACATAATTTAAGTATATTTTTGGAATAAAATTAATTATTACAATCGCTAAGAATTGCTTAAAATTTCAATTTATACACACAAATATAGTAAATCATGCAGCAAGTTTAATATTTTCAAAAATAATTAATGTCAAGGTTTAGTTTAAATAATATGATACAGAATTTGTTACAAAGTTTTCCTTAAGACTTAAAATATGAGGCAATATAAGATATCTTACTTACAAGTATTGGCACAAACTTTTCAATAAAACAAGTTTTTAAAAGAATATTCTCTTCCAATAGTCTACTATTCGGTCAATTCATGGGTCTATTGCTAGTGCTGTACCACTCGGACGGATTGGCACCACTCATAGTGACCGGCAACTCATCTAATGTGCAAAAACTATTTCGACGTTATCTGTCGACAATGATTCACGTGAAGTATTGGTACCAATTTGATCCGTTTGACAAACACAGCAAAGCGTACAAATCGCTCAAACACGTGAGAGGTCTGCACCGACAGGTGTCCACATCGATGAACGAAAAGGGCGATCGAGTTGAGGGTCGGGATCAACTCTGGATACCACAGTACGGAATGGTCCATGCTCAGTTTTCGTTCATTGGGTTGGTAGCCATGTATCCCGAAAAATGTGGCTTACATTCACTGCCCGCTGAAGACTTCGATAGTTTGCTATACTTTTGGCGAGTGATTGGCTATTGTCTGGGAACTGATGATCGCTATAATCTCTGTTCTGGAAGTAGCGAAGAAGTGGTGAAATTGTGTCACTTGATATGGACGAGAGACTGGTACCCAGTGGTCAATACTGTGCCACTCGACTGCCCGGGCGGTGAGGAGATGGCGAAAGGCATTTGTTTGGCTATGAATAGGGTCTCAAAGTTTATTCGCTGGAATGTATTGATGACATACTGGACACCCATTCTTAAGCTCACTCGACCCATGAGATTGCAATCATTTGGCGACTATTTCTGGTATTATGTCATCAAATGTAGTATGAGTTTTGCCACCAAAATCCCATTCTTCCGGTACCTCATGTCTACCAGCGCTCGACTCAACCTCTCGATAGCAATCCGTTTTAAAAATTATAAATACAATAATTTGAAGGAAGAGTACACAGACTTGAGTTACGATAACAAGAGCTGTCCTTTTGATGTCAAATTCAATTACACCGATGTCTTCGAGACAATCAATGACAAAGAGTCCACAAAATTATAGTCAATTCGTGTCATAATTCATATAATAATACTATTTTATACTTTTTATTTATAAATATAATATTAGTGTTTGCAAAATATTGTATATAATTTTAAGGTTAATAACAAAATGATAATTACTGATCAGAGAGTGTAATAATTAACAAAATAGTAAATTTAATTACCAAAAAACCGTTGTATCAGGGTTAGTCCTGGAACTCCCAGTACGAGTGCTCGTATCCCTCCAACACGTGTTCCCAGAGTACTTTTCTTCTAAACTCGCAATACCTCCAGTGGTTTTTGATTTTGGTGCGGACGGCACCCATAGCTAAACCATTCACAACGGGATCTACCATTGCGGCCAACTCTTCGACCCAGGCTTCCAGATATGACTGATTGGACTCAAAGATAATGCTTTGGTTGGACTGTCGGAGAAAATAAGCAAACTTATAGCTATACGAAAGGGTTTGTCGACAATTGGATAGAGTAGTGAATGCGTCGAAAATGGTGTGAAACTCTTCATAACTGATATTCTTGAGCTTACTTTCATCAAACTTTGCCTTCAAATCAGTTAACCGTTTACCCTCTGAATCCAAATGCTTTTGTTGACGACTCATGCGATCGGATAATTGAATAAAGCGTTTGAGTCGAGTCTTCACATCACTGTCTGGTTTATGGTGACAAATATGATGGTCACCCGAGAGATCTGAGAGGCATTCCCAACAGAAGACATGAAACGACTCATGCGATCGGATAATTGAATAAAGCGTTTGAGTCGAGTCTTCACATCACTGTCTGGTTTATGGTGACAAATATGATGGTCACCCGAGAGATCTGAGAGGCATTCCCAACAGAAGACATGACTGCACTCATTATTCTCGCAAATCATTTCATGACAGCCACCGTCCTTCTCGATGGTAGCCATACATTTGGGACAGTTCTTCGTGTTCTTGAGCAGCCATCGGGTCGTCTCATACCACCCGTCGGCGCACTTCTTATCCCATAGACGGACGAGAGGAGAGATTTTCTCGTCAACCAATCGGTACATCACTTCGTCTTCGTTTGGTTTAAATCTTTTATTATTATTGTTATCCATCTCTTCCTTATGAGAAGACATTGTATCCAAAGGAGCAGTTATTTTGTGCCAGGGTTCGCTAAAACCAAACGACATTCATAATGATTAATAATTATACTGTGTATGTTTCAATGTATCATTATAAATTATTATTAAATAATGTTTTAAACACAATTAGGCAATATAAAATAATATATTAATAAATTAATATTCCGATATGTAATATGATACAAATGTGCAATGCTTATATAAAGGTTATATAAAGGTTATTAGAATCAGAATTTGAGATCACAATAAATTTAGCATGCATGTTTTATTACTATACAAAACTTCTAAACTTACTTGTTAAAGATATTTATTGTAGTCAATACCATATCAATATTATGAAATTATAAAATATTTTATATTTGATGCTAAATGAAATTATATTAAAAAGGGTGATTAGTTTATTATGTCGCTGACTGATCCACATAATTTTAATAACTTATAATATTCAATTCATATGACTTACCTATTGTAAAGACTTTATTAATTGTTGTGTTTAGTATTTGATTTACTTTGTAACAAAGAGATTTTGATAGTGATATTCAAGTATGTTTCCCATGTTTTCCAAATAGCCAGTTCATTATAAATGAGTAAAAGTCATACTCCTAGTATCTTATAATATTTTGTAATTTAACTTAAGTAATAAAACTGTACTGGTAATGTTTCTTATTATTTCTCTCGATGTCCGTTGATTTGAAAGCAGTTCACTAGCATTACTGTTATGTATTCATAGCAATTATTGTGCTCAAATGATTTTTTATTAGCAATATGTTTTCTTTTATATGAATAAATGGACAAACCTTTTAAAATATTTTGATAAACTCATAGATAAATGTACTTTATATAATTTTATAAAATTTTTATTTCTATACTAGGCTCACAAGTCAAATGAGTGTTGGAATATTTTAGTAAATTAAACTTGTTTAAATATAATTCATGTGTTTCTAAGTTATTATTAATTATTGACTAATTCTCAAAAAATTAAACTATAAAACAATTTTATAAACTAATACTTTGCATAACAAAATCTTTATAAAAATACTTATTGATAAGATCAACAATATAGTGAACGATTTATTTTTGGTAACAAAAAACTTATCATTTATTAAGATATCAACAAAACAAATAAAATATGAAATGCATTTCAATAGCAATTAATTAATAAATAAATAACAGATGATATATTAATATAAAACATAATCAACA